CAATTTCCCGATTTAAATTTATTTTAACGTGTATTTCAATTTTTCGAAATTTTCGTTTTCTGATTTTTCAATTTTTCGATATTTTCATTTTTCGATTTTTAAAATTTTTCATTTTAATCTTTCGAATTGCAATTTTTCGATTCGGATTTTTTGAGTTTCCTTCGATTTTTCGGTTTTTCAATTTTACGGTTTAAGAATTTTTCTATTTTTCCATTAGTGGATTTTTTATTTATTCAATTTTTCGATTACATTTCTTCAAATTTTCGATTTGCAATTTTTCGATTTTCCGATGTTCAGAATTTTCCCATCAGTTCTTTGATTTTTCTATTTTTCAATTTTTTGACTCTCGCTTTTAAATTGTTCGGTTTTTCTATTTCTCGATTTTAAAAATTTTTCATGTTTGGATTTTTGGATTTTTCACTTCGATTTCTCGATTTATCGAGATTTAGATGCTTCGATTTTTTGTTTTGTCTTTTTTTTAGTTTAGATTTTTCAATTTCGAATTTATAGATTTTTCGATTTTGGGCTATTCCCATCTCTCAATTTTTCGATTTTTTGACTATTCTCGAAATCTTTGTTTTGATTTCGCGATGTTTAAATTTTTCAATTTCGATTTCTCGGTTTTTGATTTTTCGACTTTTCAGTTTTGGGATCTTTCAGTTTCTCGATTTTTGTATTTTTCATTTTTTTATATTTTAGATTTTTTGATTTCTCAATTTCTAGATTTTTTGTCATAGTTTTTTGATTTTTTAAATTTTATATTTTTGATTTTTCCATTTTTCGATTTTACGAATTTTGAATTTTTGATGTTTCGATATCCCGATTTTAAATTTTCTTAATAAATATTTAAACTTTTCCAGTGTTCGATTTTTCTGTTTTTCAGCATTTCATTTTAGTAATTTTTCGTTTCTGAATTTTTCAATTTTCTGATATTTCAATTTTACGATTTATCAATTTTTCGATTCTTCAATTTTTCCATTTTTTAAATATTCGATTTTTCGTTTTTCAATTTTCTGGATTTCTAAATGTTCGATTTTACGTTTCCCAGTTTTTCAATACTTCGTTTTTTTGTTTTTTCGATTTTTCAACATTTAATTTTTCGATTTCTTGATGTTTTAATTTCTCGATTTTTTAAATTTTACATACCTACTTTTATTTCTCGATTTTTCGATTTTTCAATTTTTCGAATATTTAAATTTTGGATTTTCCACATTTTCGATTTCTCGATTTTTCGATTTTTTGAGTTCTCGCTTTTAGATTTTTCGGTTTGCAATTTTTCGATTTTTCGATGTTCCTTTTTTTTCCTATCAGTTCTTTGATTTTTCTATTATTCAATTTTTTGACCCTCGCTCTTGGATTTTTCGATTTTACGAATTTTTGATGTTTCGATATCCCGATTTTAAATTTTCTTAATATGTATTTAAACTTTTCCAGTGTTCGATTTTTCTGTTTTTCAGCATTTCATTTTAGTAATTTTTCGTTTCTAAATTTTTCAATTTTCCGATATTTCAAGTTTACCATCTATCAATTTTTCTATTCTTCAATTTCTCCATTTTTTAAATATTCGATTTTTCATTTTTCAATTTTCTGGGTTCTAAATGTTCGATTTTACGTTTTCCCAGTTTTTCAATACTTCGATATTTCAGTATTTAATTTTTCGATTTCTTGATATTTTAATTTTTCGACTTTTTAAATTTTAGATACCTACTTTTATTTCTCGATTTTTCTATTTTTCGATTTTAAAAATTTTTCATTTTTGGATTTTTCAATTTTTCACTTCGATTTCTCGATTTATCGAGATTTAGATGCTTCGATTTTTTGTTTTGTCTTTTTTTTAGTTTAGATTTTTCAATTTCGAATTTATGGATTTTTCGATTTTAGGTTATTCCGATCTCTCAATTTTTCGATTTTTTGACTATTATCGAAATCTTTCAGTTTTGGGACCTTTCAGTTTCTCGATTTTTGCATTTTCGTTTTTTTATAATTTAGATTTTTTGATTTCTCAATTTCTAGATTTTTTGTCAGTCTTTTGATTTTTTAAATTTTATATTTTTGATTTTTCCATTTTTCGATTTTACGAATTTTTGATGTTTCGATATTCCGATTTTAATTTTTTTAATATGTACTTAAATTTTTCCAGTGTTCGATTTTTCTGTTTTTCAGCATTTCATTTTGGTAATTTTTCGTTTCTGAATTTTTCAATTTTCCGATATTTCAATTTAGGATTTATCAATTTTTCTATTCTTCAATTTCTCCATTTTTCAAATATTCGATTTTTCATTTTTCAATTGTCTGGGTTTCTAAATGTTCGATTTTACGTTTTCCCTGTTTTTCATTACTTCGATTTTTTTGTTTTTTCGGTTTTTCAATATTTAATTTTTCGATTTCTTGATGTTTTAATTTTTCGATTTTTTAAATTTTAGATACCTACTTTTATTTCTCGATTTTTCGATTTTTCAATTTTTCGAATTTTTAAATTTTGGATTTTTCACACTTTCGATTTCTCTATTTTTCGATTTTTTGACTTCTCGCTTTTAGATTTTTCGATTTTCCAATTTTTCGATTTTTAAAATTTTTGATTCCTGTGGTTTTTAGTTTTTCGGTTTTTAAATTTTTCGATTTTTCGAGATTTAGATGTTCCGATTTTTCAATTTTTCGATTTATATGTAGGTTTTTGAAGCTTAAATTTTTCAATTCCAAATTTATCGATTTTTCGGTTTAGGACTATTTCGATCTCTCAATTTTTAATTTCTCGATCTTTTGATGTTTCAGTTTTTCAATTTCTATTTTTCAATTTCTCGGTTTTTCGATTTTTCGATTGTTCAATTTTTCAATTTTATAAATCTTAGATTTTTCGATTTCTCGATTTTTGTTTTAGTTTTTCGATTTTTTAAATTTTATATTTTTGAGTTTTTCATTTTTCAATATTGGATGTTTCGATTTCCCGATTTAAATTTTTTTAATGTGTATTTCGATTTTTCAAATTTAGAGTTTTCGAGTTTATTTTAGTAATTTTTCGTTTCTGGATTTTTCAATTTTTGGATATTTTCATTTTTCAATTTTTTAAATTTTAGATTTTAGTTTTTCGAATTGCAATTTTTCGTTTCGGTCTTTTTTTTATATACTTTTTGGATTTTTCGATTTTTCAATTTTACGATTTTAGAATTTTTCAATTTCGCGATATTTAATTTTTCCATTTTTCGATCTTTCAGTGTTACAGTTTTTGGAATTTACAATTTTGACGATTCTACAAATTTCCAATTTTTGGGTTTTCTAATTTTTCGATTTTTCAGCTCTTCGAATTGAAAAATTGAAAACGAAAATACCAAGAAGTATAAAATGAAAACTTTGAGAAATCTAAAAATTGGAAATCAAGAACTTGACAAATTGACGAGACGAAAAATTGAAAAATCGAAAAATTAAAAATTGAGAAACTTAAAAATCGAAAAAACGTAAAATGTAGTGTAAAATACAAATATTGAAAATGAGAAATCGGGAAATCGGATAATTGGAAACCCAAAAATTACAAAATTGAATGATTTTAAAATTGGAAGGTCCAGAAATTGAAAAATCAAAAACTAAAACTTTGAAAAATAGAAGAAATGAAAAAACGAAAAATTGTGATATGAAATCGGAAAAATGAAAATTGAAATCGGGAAAATGAAAAATAAAAATCAAGGACTTGAAAAATTGTAAATCGAAAAATTGAGAAATTGAAAAATGAATGAAAAAATAAAAAATTGTGATATCACAAACTGTAAAATCGAATCAGGGAGAATTTATTAGGCAAAATTTTGAGTTGACGTCATCATTTTTTGGGATGGAATATCGAATAAATTTTGATTAAGTTTAGAAGTTTTTTTTTTACAAAAATTTGGATATCTAGATTGAAAACTCAACACGTATTCATCCATCACAAGTGTAGGAGTATCTTATTTTATGAGATTAAAAAAAAATTGATGTTATTGTAAATTTTGGAGATGACGTCATCCTTAGCTTACGCTCAAGAATTAAAGAACAAGTAGGTCCTTGACGTTTCCCCTTTTTAAAATCCGCCAAAACACTAACAAAATCCGAGTGTCAACGTGAATTTACGGCCTTTAAAGCATTGCTTTTAAACCCATCGTTAAACGCCGCCAAATCTGCTTTAAGTGATGCATACAGCAACGCCCCTGACAGATGTGATACATATAATATAATAACAAGTGGTAGAAGAAAGAACCTGGGGGACGGCAAGCAACCGAGCACTTTTGTATCCCGTAATACAAAGAATTACAAAACCCGGCGGCGCTTTCCCAAAATCATCACCAAATACAGCACACGCGAAAATCCTCCTCTCTCGCTCAAAATCGTACCCTTTACCCACCTATGCAAAAATCAATGCCCCTTAGCCGACCCAGGGTGAACGATCTCTTTACGACAATATCAAGTGTTTTTCTCGCCACAATTACCACCCCGCTAATGCCCCGATCCACAACTTCCACAACTTTATGGTAATAAAACGCGATAATTGTGGAGAGCCGGCTGTCGAAGAAGGTCATGCTCTGGTAATTTATATGGGGATTGGCGTAAAATAGAGCCGTTGTTTTGTTTTAAGGCAGAAGAAGAAACACTGTAACACATAAAACACACCCTATTTCAAAGTCATTCCCACGGATGGGTTTCAATTCAACAGTGAATAGTGGTGTGTTCTCACGGAGCAGGATGTGACGTGCGGGGGGAGAGGCGGAGCGGACCAGTGGATCGGTAAAGGGTACCGGAAGGAAATCGCTACCGCAAAGTACCATCGATGACCGGGCTAATGTGTGAACTAATGATAAAGCGCTGGGTTGCCACTACTCGTTAAACCTCGTACACCTTGGATTGATAAATATTTCGTGCTCGATCATCGCAGAGCGGACCATTAGGCTCTAATCACCACAATTAAAGCCCCCTATTTATTAGAGCGGCTAACGCAACGCTGATTGACGTTAGTTACACTTATAATAATGAAACAACTCTCAACTAGTAAAAAATTTCTTCATAGTCTATTTTCAATAACAGTCTATTTTGACATTTTGCTAAAATCCACTTTAAATCTTTAAAAAACAATTTCTGGAACAATTACTAGAATTAAAATTATCTAGATGAGAAAACCACCACCACGTCTTCAATTACTGTACAACTGGTTGTACAACATCTGCTGCACGTTCATCCTGAACAACAACTTCTTATCCTGATCCAGCCTCTTCACGAACGGGAGCAAGCTTCTGAAAAACAGCAAATCGTCGTCTTGGTCGTCGTCATTCCCTTCCCCACTCTCGCTCTTCCTCTTCTTCGCCACCCTCTTCATGGTGTGTTCGTGCGTGGTGTCCGCGTCGTCGCTCTGGGGATGCAACGAGGTGACGTTGCCGATGACGAAGTTGGAGCTGTTTTCGGTTTCTTCTTCTATGTTGGCGGAGGGCGAGTACGCGATTTCTGAGTCGTTTTCGATTTTCACGTTCTCGTTGAGGGTTTCGGCAATTTCGGACGTGGTGGGTCCGTCGGGGAAGTCGTTGACGCGTCGGGTTCGCAGGATGTCTTTGAGGAAGTACATGTCTTCGTAGTAGGCCCAGAGGCTCCTGGATTGGATGGGGTCGGAGGCGTCCAGGCCGCTATAGCGTTTGGTTTTTTTCAGTTCGACGCGGAATGTGTCACGGAGGTTTTTCCATTTTTGTTTGGCGACCATCACTGAAAAAGGGGGAAGTTACACGAAAATGAGTCATCATAAATCCTTTGAGATTAAAAAAAAAACAGTAGGAGCCCCTGAAGTTCATTAGAATTTTATCAAAAACAAATACCAGTGTCTCTAGGATTTTTTCAAAATTAAGAAAAAATAAGTACCAAAAAGGGCCCCTGAGATTATATAAAATGTTTTCAGAAACAGATCACCCTTGAGATTCTTTCCAACTTTTAAATTATAAAACACAACTTGGAGAATTTGTAGAATTTTTTTCAAAAACAGAACACCAGATATTCCTCAAAATTCTTTTCATTTAAGATTCATTCAAAAACAAAACACCACGGGCCCCTGAGACACTTTCAAATTTTGTAATAAGAAAAGGACCAGGGATCTCTTGAATCTTTAAAATTCTTTCAAAAATAAAACACCAAGGCCCGAAATTCTTTCAAAAATAAAACACCAGAGGTCCCTGAGAATCAACAGAACTTTTTCAAAAACAAAACATCAGATGCCTGAAATTCTCTAAAATTCTTTAAAAAATAAAACACCAAGTACCCAAATTCTTTCAAAAACAAATACCAGGATCTCTGCGATTCTTTCAAATTAAAAAAAACACCAAAGGCTCCTGAGATTCTTTCGAATTTTTTCAAAAACAGAACACCAGAGATCCCTTGAGATTTTTAAAAATTTCTTAAAAAATAAAACACTGGAGATCCCTGAGTTTCTTTCAAATTTATTCAGAAACAAAACGCCAGACAGCCCTAAGATCCTTTACAATTCTTAAAAAAAACACCAAGGCCCTTGAGATTCTTTAATATTCTTTCAAGAAACAAAAACATCAGGAATCCATTGAAACTCTTTAAAATTCTTCAAAACACCCAAGGCCGAAATTCTTTCAAAAATAAAATACTGGGGGCTTCTAAGATGCATTAAAAATTTTTTAGAAACAAAATATCATAGATGCCTTGAGATTCTTTAAAAAATAAACACCAGAGGCCCTTGAGAATCATTAGAACTTTTTCAAAAACGAACCATCAGAGGTATGAAATTCTTTAAAAAATTAAACACCAAATATCCAAATTCTTTCAAATTAAAAAAAAAAAACACCAAAGGCTCCTGAGATTCTTTAGATTTTTTTCAAAAACAAAACACCAGGGGCCTTTTAATATTGTTTCAATTTTTTTTAGTAACAAAACATCGGGGTTCCCTAGGAATTTTTAAAAATTTCTTACAAAATAAAACACCGGGGATCCCTTTAGAATTTTCTGAAAAACAAAACATCAGAGGCCACAGGGTTCTTTCAAATTCCATTAGAAATAAAACACCAGCAACTCCTGAGATTTTTTAAAATGTTTTCAGAAACAAATCACCAGAGACCCTTGAGGTTCTTTCAAGCTCTGAAATGTAAAACACCAAGGAGAAATTTTTTAGATTTTTTTTAACACCAGAAGCCGCTGGTATTCTTTACAATTCTTTAAAAAATAAAACACCAAGGCAGGATTCTTTTGAATTTTTTGAAGAACTTGGGGCTCCTGAAATTCTTCCAAATTTTTTTTGAGATTTTCTAAATTCCTTTAAAAAATGAAACAGCAAATGTCCAAATTCTTTCAAAAACAAACACCACGACCTTTGTGATCCTTTCAAATTAAAAAAGGTACTAAGGGCGCCTGAGATTCTTTAGAATTTTTTCAAAAACGAAACCCCTGAGATTCTTTCAAAGTTTTTCAGAAAGAAAATACCAGAAACTCCTAAGAATCTTTAAAATTCTTTAAAAAATAAAACACTAAGAGCCCCTGAATTTCTTTAGATTCTCTCATAAAAAAAAAACTCCAGGTATCCACTCTTTAAAATTCTTGACAAAAAAACACCAAATACCGAAGTTCTTTCAAAAACAAAATACCAGGGGCTTCTGAGACTCATTCACTTTTTTTTCAGGAACAAAACATCATAAATCCTTTGAGATTAAAAAAAATAAAACAGTAGGAGCCCCTGAAGTTCATTAGAATTTTATCAAAAACAAATACCAGTCTCTCTAGGATTTTTTCAAAATTAAGAAAAAATAAGTACCAAGGGCCCCTGAGGTTATATAAAATGTTTTCAGAAACAAATCACCCTTGAGGTTCTTTCAAACTTTTAAAATATAAAACACAACGGGGAGAATTTGTAGAATTTTTTTCAAAAACAGAACACCAGGGGCCTCTGATATTCTTCAAAATTCTTTTCATTTAAGATTCATTCAAAAACAAAACACCAGGGGCCCCTGAGACACTTTCAAATTTTGTAATAAGAAAAGCACCAGGGATCCCTTGAATCTTTAAAAGTCTTTCAAAAATAAAACACCAAGGCCCGAAATTCTTTCAAAAATAAAACACCAGAGGCCCCTGAGAATCAACAGAACTTTTTCAAAAATAAAACATCAGATGTCTGAAATTCTCTAAAATTCTTTAAAAAATAAAACACCAAGTACCCAAATTCTTTCAAAAACAAATACCAGGATCTCTGCGATTCTTTCGAATTTTTTCAAAAACAAAACACCAGAGATCCCTTGAGATTTTAAAAAATTTCTTAAAAAATAAAACACTGGGGATCCCTGAGTTTCTTTAGAATTTTCTGAAAAACAAAACATCAGAGGGGCCTGAGATTCTTTCAAATTTATTCAGAAACAAAACACTAGACACCCCTAAGATCTTTTACAATTCTTAAAAAAAACACCAAGGCCCTTGAGATTCTTTAATATTCTTTCAATGAACAAAAACATTATCCATTGAAACTCTTGAAAATTCCTCAAAAAAGTAAAACACCCAAAGCCGAAATTCTTTCAAAAATAAAATACTCGGGGCTTTTGAGATGCATTAAAATTTTTTAGAAACAAAATATCATAGATCTCTTGAGATTCTTTAAAAAATAAACATCAGAGGTCTGAAATTCTTTAAAAAATTAAATACCAAGTACCCAAATTTTTTGAAATTAAAAAAAACACCAAAGGCTCCTGAGATTCTTTAGATTTTTCTCAAAAACAAAATACCAGGGACCTTTTAAGATTGTTTCAAATTTTTTAGAAACAAATCATCGGGGTTCCCTCGAGATTTTTAAAAATTTCTTACAAAATAAACCACCGGGGATCCCTTTAGAATTTTCTGAAAAACAAAACATCCGAGGTCTCTGAGATTCTTTTAAATTTATTCAGAAACAAAACACCAGAGCCCCTAGGATCCTCTAAAATTCTTTAAAAAAAGAGCCCTTGAGGTTCTTTAAGATCCTGTCAAAAAATAAAATACCAGGAATCCATTGAAACTCTTTAAAATTCCTCAAAAAAATAAAACACCAAACGCCGAATTTTTTTCAAAAACAAAATACCAGGGGCTTCTGAGATGCGTTAATTTTTTTTTTAAACAAAACCTCAAAGGTTTCTTGAGATTCTTTAAAATTCTTTAAAAAATAAGACACCAAGTGCATAAATTCTTTCAAAAACAAATAACGATTCCTCTGAGTTTTTACAAATTTAACAAAAAATTTATCACCAAGGACCTCTGAGATTCTTTCGATTTTTTTTCAGAAACAAAACACCAGGGACCTTTTGAGATTTTTAACAATTCTTTAAAAAATAAAACAGCCGAGACCCTGATTTCTTTAGAATTTGCTCAAAAAGAAAACATCACAGGCCCCTGAGATTTTTTAAAATTTATTCAGAAATAAAACACCAAGGATTCCTGAGATCATTTAAGATTCATTCAAAAACATAACACCAGGGGTCCTTGAGACTCCTTCAAATTTTGTAATAAGAAAAGCACCAGGGATCCCTTGAATCCTTAAAATTCATTCAAAAATAAAATACCAGGCGTCAGTTTGTTCAATTTTTTTCTTAAACAAAATATCATAGATCCCTTGAGATTCTTTAAAAATAGACACCATGGGCCCCTGAGAATCCTTAGAACGTTTTCAAAACGTGGTCCCTTGAAATTCTTTAAAATTCTTTTGCCTTTGATTTTTTCCAATTTAATAAAAAAATTAAGCAGGGCCTCTGAGATTCTTTAGAATTTTCTCAAAATCAAAACATCACAGGCTCCTGAAATTCTTTCAAATTTATTCAGAAATAAAACACCAAAGACCCCCTAAGATCCTTTAAAATTCATCAAAAAATAAAACACCAACAGCCCGGAGATTCTTTAAGATTTTTTCAAAAACAAAACACGAAATTTTTTCGGAAATAAAACATAATTCCCTTGAGATTCTTAAAAAAAAAAAAACACCAGGAATCTCTAAGATTCATTAGAACTTTTTCAAAAACACCTTTGGCAGTAATTAAAACTGTTTCAAAATAAAACACCAAGTGGACGAATTGTTTCAAAAACAAATAGCAGTGTCTAGGAGATTTTTTTAATAAAACACCAAGGACCTATGAGATTGTTTCAAATTTTCTCTGAAACAAAACATCAGAGAACCCCCTGAAATTCTTTCAAATTTATTCGGAAACAAAATACTAGAAACCCCTAAGATTCTTTAAAATTCTTTAAAAAATAAAACATCAAGAACCCCTGAGATTCATTCAATTATTTTAAGACACAAAACACCAGGGATCTATTTGAAATTCTCTAAACTTCCTAAAAAAATGAAGTACCAAGGGCCAAAATTCTTTCAAAATCAAACACCAAGCATAGATTTCTTGAGGTTCTTTAAATTTATTTAAAAAATAAAACACCAAGAGCTCAAATTCATCTGAAAACAAAATACCTCTGAGATTCTTTCAAATTAAAAAAAAACACCAAGTGCCCGAGATTATTTAAAATTAAAAATTAATGAAATATCAAGGGTTCAATTTTTTTCAAAAAATAAAGTACCAGGTGTGCCTGAGACTCTTTCTAATTTCTTTAGTAAGAAAATACCGTAGGTTTTTTGAAGTTTTTTAAAATTCTTAAAAAATAAAACACCCAGGAGCTCTCAATTTTCTCAAAATCAAAACATCACGAGCCTCTGAGATTTTTTCAAATTTATTCAGAAATAAAACACCAGAGACCCCTAAGAATCTTTAAAATCTTTAAAAAAGCCCAGCAGATTCTTTTGAGATTTTTTCAAAAACAAAACACCAGGAGCTTCTGAGATTCTTTTAAGACACAAAACACCAATGAGATTCTCTAAAATTCTTCAAAAAATAAAGCACCAAGGGCCGAAATTCTTTCAAAAACTAAACACCAACGATTTCTGAGAGTCGTTCAAATTTTTTCAGTAATAAAACACCATAGATTTCTTGAGGTTCTGTAAATTTGTATAAAAAATAAAACACCAAGAGCTCAAATTCTTTCAAAAACAAAATACCAAGACCTCTGACAGTTTTTCAAATTTAAAAAAATAAATAAAACATCAAGGGTCCAATTTTTTTCAAAAATAAAGCACCAAGCTACTCAGCAACTCTTTCTAATTTCTTCAATAAGAAAACACCATAGGGCTTTAGAAATTCTTTAAAATTGTTTAAAAAATAAAACACCCAGGGAGCCCTGAGTTTCTTTAGAATTTTCTCAAAATCAAAACATCAAAAGCCTCTGCGATTTTTTCAAATTTATTGAGAAATAAAACACCAGAGACCCCTAAGAATCTTTAAAATCTTTAAAAAAGCTTCTTTTGAGATTTTTTCAAAAACAAAACACCAGGGGCTTCTGAGACTCTCAATTATTTTAAGACACAAAACACCAGGGATCCATTGAGATTCTTTAAAATTATTCAAAAAATAGAGCACCAAGGGCCGAAATTCTTTCAAAAACCAAACACCAATGTGTTCGGAGATTCGTTCAAATTTTTTCAGCAACAAAAGAGTTATTGAGGTTCTGTAAATTTGTATAAAAAATAAAACACCAAGAGCTCAAATTCTTTCAAAAACAAAATACCAAGACCTCTGAGATTCTTTCAAATTAAAAAAATTAATAAAATATCAAGGGTCTAATTTTTTTTCCAAGAATAAAGCACCAGGCTACCTAGGAACTCTTTCTAATTTCTTCAGCAAGAAAACACCATAGATCTTTTGAAGTTCTTTCAAATTCTTTAAAAAATAAAACGCCAGGGGCTCGTGAGATTCATAAATTTTTTTCAAAAACACAATATCAGAAGTCCCCTGAAATTTTTTAAAATTATTTAAAAAATAGAGCACCAAGGGCCGAAATTCTTTCAACAACCAAGGCCCCTAAGATTTTTTCAAATTTATTCAGACATAAAACACCAGAGATCCCTAAAATTCTTTAAAATCTTTAAAAGAGCCGAGGAGACTCTTTAAGATTTTTGCAACAACAAAACACCAGGGGCTTCTGAGACTCTTTCAATTATTTTAAGACATAAAACATCAGGGATCCATTGAGATTCTTTAAAATTTTTCAATGAAGCACCAAGGGCCGAAATTCTTTCAAACACTATAAATTTCTTGAGGTTCTTTTAAATGCTAAAAAATATAAAACACCAGGGGCCCCCGAGATTCTTAGAATTAAAACAAAATCAGGTCCCTTGAGATCCTTTGAAATTCTTATAAAAATAAAACACTAAATACCCTTGAGATTCTTTAGAATTTTTCCCAAAACAGAAAGCAGGGGATCTCTTGAGACTCTTTAAAATTAAAAATGAATAAATAAAACACCAAATTCCCAAATATTGCGAAAAATAAAGCACCAGAGGTCGCTGGAACTCTTTTTCCTTGAAATTTTTATATTAATTATATGTTTCAATTACACATTGTGATGTCAAAAGAAATTTTTCATCAATAAAATGATTTAAATCAATCGCAGACACTGTTTTACGTTGGATAATTTAATAAAAATAATAATGATAATACTAATAATTCTCTCCTAAGTAATTTGGAAAATTATATACTTAGTATCTTATTTTTTTAAAGTCGAAACATAGCCACTAGATGTTGATTGTTTATTAATTGATATATTTATTAGTTTATTACATATCTTCTACATAGACAAAGTTTACATTTTAAATATCTTTTGCTACTTGATGAATAATTATTGTCAATTCTTTTGCGTCCATTATATTGTAACCTGTATGTTTTATGCAATTGTGCCGTCCAACCCCTCCTAATCCCACCACCAGATTTTAGTGAACAAAAACAACGCTCTGAGCATACAACGTGAAACTACCTAAAACCGCACCAAACTACGCAGAAACCAAAACTGAATAACTAAACAAGTGTCTCGGACTCTCTCTCTCAATCACCCACTCACGCCGCCTCCATTCGCGCGGCGGCGCTTCGCCCGCCGCCGCCCTTTACCTTCCACGTTGAATATCTTGGCGATGTCCCTCCAGCCGTCGCTCAGCGCCTTCTTGTTGTGGTAATGCCTGCTGGACTGATCCCACAGCGCCTTCCTCTTCTTGACTTCGCCGATGAACAATCGAATATTCATGTCGGGGGCTGGTTTAGTGCACGTTCGGCCGATACATCACCGACCGACCGACCTTTGTTCGACTTGGACGCCAACGCCGTCGCTGTCGCTCGTCTATTCGCAAGAACGTTTGCGTGCGCATCGATTCGCTCCAACCTGGTTCTTCCACCACGTCTACTCTTTCGATAACACTCTCAATGTCAACGCTCGTTCGCTCGCCGGATCCTCATTTCGACTTTCGAGGCGTTGCGTTGCGCCGATCGGACGGATTCCCCGCAGACACAACATGCGATGGATTTTTTGCTAAGGATCGGTGGCTGGCTGCGGATAGGATGTGGGTGGGATGGGGAGGTAGTTTCGTACGGTGAGAGTTCAGGGTGAGATTTTATGATTCGGTTAGTGGTCGTAGAAAAAATAAGTAGTGGCGGTACGGTGTAAAGGATTTTATTGCACGATTTACAAAAAACGCACCTTTTATTTTTGTTTTTCGAATAACAACACTACCTCATGTATCACGTTATTTACAAGAAACTCAAGAGTAACAAGTATTGTGTTGATTAATATACATATCATAATGTAAGCGTGATTCATGGGAAAAAAAAAATAGCAGTGATCTGTAACGTCGTGATGTGGTCTCTTAAAGATAAAATTCAAACCAGAAAACCCGATAAGACAACTACGCAAAACTTATTACTCTAAGATCTAACTTCCTATAAAATAAAACGGGTCGGAGGTTATTACGACAGAACTTACCTCGCTTCGATAAGAAAATTTCTGGTACCTTTTTCGAAAATTAGGAGTGAAGTTTTGAATTTTCGAAAATCATGTGCAACCTCTTTACAAAGCAAAAAAAATGTCTTGTCTGTATGGCCAAGTTTTTCTAATTTTTTGAAGAGTGGTTCAGGCTTTTTGATATTAAAAATTACCAGAGATTGCGGAAGAAATAGCTATAAATTAATCTGCCCCATTTATATAAGAATCGTAATGGGACTGACCAAGAGGACGACGTTCTAGATTTAAAGATGTTTTTCAGCTTGACGAATTCAGTTCTGCAAATGATGAATCATTAAAGCCAAAATCTTTCAAAATACTTACATAAAAAATCTATATTAATGACAGACCGAAGCGAGCACCAGGGGACATTCTTTAAATGGTAAAATCGAATGAACTGTTCTTGATTTGATTATTAACAAATCGTAAAAAAGTATTTATCGTGTAGAAAAAGTGAATCATAAAACAGGGGCGAAGAAAGTTCTGCCGAAATAAACGTCGACCAATTTTTTTAGTCTAGAGATTTTTATTAATGCAATAGAAAGCAGTTTCGTCAGTTTCTAAGAAACTTAGAAAATTTCTTATTTAAAAAATTGTCTACAGTTAGAAAACTTTCAGGAAAATGGTTTAACGGGACTTGATTTGATCAGTAAATTAAATTACCTCATTTATAAAAATTTTTCGAGTTATCGATTTTTTGAATTTTGCGTTTTTTTGTTTTTCGACTTTTGGATATCTCGATTTTTGATTTTTCGACTTCCCAATTTTTGGATTTTTGGACTTTCATTTTTTCGATTTTTCGGGTTTTGGATTTTTCGATTTATAATTTTTGTAATTTTTGACATCTCGATTTTTTAATGTCTCGAGTTTTCTGTTTTTAGATTTTTCAACTTTACGTTTTGATATTTATTGTTACCTTCGCTTTTTCCATTAGAATTTTTCGGTTTTTTGATTCTTCGATTTTTCGCCTTTTCGATTTCTCGAATTTTGATTTTTCGATTTTTCGATTTTTCTATTTTTTTTCTATTTGATTTTTCCACTTTTTCTTTTAGCTAATATTCGAATTTTCAATTTCCTAATTTTTCGACTTTTTGACCATTCGATTTTTCGACGTTTCGTATCTTCCGTTTTTCGAGTTTTGAATTTTTCAATTTTTCGATTTTTCGGCTTTTCGATTTTTCGATTATAGATTTTTGAATTTTTTGACTTTCCGTTTCTTTGATTTTTCGAGTTTTGGATTTTTCGATTTATCGATTTTTGGATTTTTCGGCACTATCATTTTTCTAATATTCGAATTTTCAATTTCCTGATTGTTCCATACTTTTAAACCATTTGCTTTTTCGACATTTCGAATTTTGACTTTTTCGATTTTTAAATTTTTGTTTTTACTTTTTCAAGTTTTCGATTTTTGGATTTTTCGACGTTTCATTTTTCGATATTTCAAGTTTCGAATTCTTCGACTTTCCGATTTCTCGATTATACATTTTTACATTTTTTGACCTTTCGTTTTATCGATTTTTCGAGTTTTGGATTTTTCGAATTATTGATTTTTAGATTTTGAATTTCTTGATTTTCCGATTTTTTGACCATTCGATTTTTCGACATTTCAATTTCTCGATTATAGATTCTTGGATTTTTTTGATTTTCCGTGATTTCGATTTTTCAAGTTTTGGATTTTTGGACAATTTTTCATTTTTCTAATATTGGAATTTTCAATTTCCTGATTTTTCCATATTTTTTGACCATTTGTTTTTTCGACATTTCGATTTCTCGAGTTTTCGATTTTTCGAATTTTGAATTTTTCGATTTTTGAATCTTTGTTTTTATACTTTTTCAAACTTTCGATTTTTGGATTTTTCAACGTTTCATTTTTCGATATTTCAAGTTTTGAATTCTTCGAATTTCCAATTTTTCGATTATAGATTCCGTTTTATCGATTTTTCGAGTTTTGAATTTTTCGACTTACGGATTTTTAGATTTTCAATTTCTTGATTTTTCGATTTTGTGACCATTCGTTTTTTGACATTTCGATTTCTCGGGTTCTCGATTTTTCGAATTTGGATTTTTGGATTTTCGATGTTTCTGTTTTTTCGTTTTTTCCACTTTTCGACATTTGAATTTTTAGAGTTCTCGATTCCTCAAATTTTCGATTTTTTAATTTTTCGAGTTTTCGACTTCTTGATTTTTTTTCTTTGTTTTTCCAGGCTTCGATATTTCGAATTTTCGATTTTTGAATTTTTAAACTCGATTATTCATGCTCTTTTTTTAGAGTCTTAAATTTTTCGGTTTTTCTCGGCTTGCCGATTTTTAAAATTTTTTAGATTTATATTTCTGGATTTTCAGACGTTTGGTTTTTCAATTTTTGAACTTATGAACTTTTCATTTTCTGGATTTTTTAATTTCTCGGGTTTTCGATTTTTCGAATTTTCGTTTTTTGGATTTCTCAACTTTGCTTTTTTAAATTTTTTGTTTCGCTGTTTTTTTGATTCGAATTTTCCGATTTTTCAATTTTCTGATTCTTCCATTTTTCGCCGTTTCGATTTCCCGAATTTTGATTTTTCCACTTTTCAATTTTTAGATTTCTCGATTTTAGATTGTTTAAGTTTTCGATTTTTCGATTTTGTATTTTTCGACTTCTCGTTTTTTCGATTTTCCGATTTATCGATTTTTGGATTTTTTACTATTCGATTTTTCCACTTTTTCATTTTCCTAATATTCGAATTTTCAATTTCATGGTTTTTCGATTTTTTTGACCATTTGACTTCGTTTTGTCAAGTTGTCAGTTTTTCGAATTTTGAATTTTTCGATTTTTGGATTTTTCGACGTTTTCCATTCTTCGACTTGAATTTTTCGCTTTAAAATCGATTCTTGGATTTTTCGATACTTCGATTTTTGTATTTTTAGATTTTCCAAATTTTCCAATTCTCGATTTTTCAATTTTTCGGCTTTTCGATTTTTCGAGTTTTAGATTTTTCGACATTTTAGTTTTCTAATTTTTGAATTTTCAATTTCCTGATTTTTCCAAATTTTTTGACATTTCGATTTCTCGATTTTTCGATTTTTCGAATTTTGAATTTTTGTCTTTTTACTTTTTCACCTTTTCGATTTTTCAAGCTTTGAATTTTTCGATTCTTCGATTTTTCGACTTTTCGATACTCGATTTTTAGATTTTTGGATTTTTCGACTTTCCGATTTCTCGATTATAGATTTTTACATTTTTTGATCTTTCGTTTTATCGATTTTTCGAGTTTTGGATTCTTCGACACTTTCAGTTTTATAATTTTCGAATCTTCAGTTTCCTTATTTTTCGAAATTTTTTGGCCATTCGTTTTCTTGAAATTCGGATTTCTTGAGTTCTCGATTTTTCGAATTTTGAATTTTTGTTTTTTAACTTTTTTACCTTTACGATTTTTTGCACTTTTCGATAGTCGATTTTTAGAGTTTTGGATTTTTCGACTTTGCGATTTCTCGCTTATAGATTTTTACATTTGTTTCGTATTATCGATTTTTGACATTTCGATTTCTCGGGTTCTCGATTTTTCGAATTTTCGATTTTTGAATTTTTTAATTTTTTGATTTTTCAATTTTTCATTCTCTTTTTCTTAGGGTTTTAGATTTTTCGATTTTTTAACTTCTCTGTTTCTCGGCTTGCAAATTTTTAGAATTTTTTAGATTTATATTTTTAGATTTTAAAACGTTTCGTTTTTTCAATTTTTGAACTTATGGAATTTTCGTTTTCTCGATTTTTTAATTTCTCAGGTTTTCGATGTTTCGAAATTTCGGTTTTTGGATTTTACAACTTTTCGTTTTTAAACTTATTGTTTCGTCGTGTTTTCGATTTTTCGATTTTCTGATTCTTCCATTTTTCTCCGTTTCGATTTCCCGAATTTTGATTTTTCGACTTTTGAATTTTTTTGGATTTCTCGATTTTAGATTGTTTAATTTTTCGATTTTTCGATTTTCCGATTTATCGATTTTTGGATTTTTTACTATTCGATTTTTCCACTTTTTCATTTTCCTAATATTCGAATTTTCAGTTTCTTGGTTTTTCGATTTTTTTGACCATTTGACTTCGATTTGTCAAGTTCTCAGTTTTTCGAATTTTGAATTTTTGGATTTTTTTTGATCTTTCAACTTTCCGATTTTCGGATTTTTCGATGTTTCGTTTTTTCCATTCTTCGACTTGAATTTTTCGCTTTAAAATCGATTTTTGAATTTTTCGATACTTCGATTGTTGGATTTCTCGATTTCCTAAATTTTCCAATTCTCGATTTTTCAATTTTTCGGCTCTTCGATTTCTTGATTATAGATTTTTGGATTTTTGGCTTCCCTTTTTTCAATTCTTCGAGTTTTGGATTTTTCGACACTTCCAATTTTCTAATTTTCGAATTTTCAAT